CGGCCACTGAACTCCAGTCTGGGCGACAGAGTGAGACTCCAACTCAAAAAAAAAAAAAAGGATGATATTTAGATTGCCGATTTATTGAGTGGATAAGTAAGATGACAGTGGCATTATGTATTGGTTACCTATCGCTGTGTAATAAATAACCTAAAAATTTAGCACCTTAAGGCAGCTAACATTTATGATGTCACACAGTTACTGAGTATCAGGATTCTGGGAGAAGCTTAACTGTAGTTTTTGCTCAAGGTCTCTCACGAGGTTGAAGTCAAGCTCTCAGTCATTTCTACAGTCAGCTTGGGCTAGGGGATCTTCTTCTAAGCTCACAGTCATGAGGTTGTTGGCAGACCTCAGTCCCTAACTGGCTTTAGCTGGAGGCCACGTGAACTTCTTCATAGACTTTCAAAGGGTCCTCACAACATTGCAGTTGACTTCCCCCAAGGCAAGCAGTACAACAAAGAGAGACAGACAGGGAGGCAGAGAGACAGAAGCCTGAGACAGAAGTCACACCCTTTCATAGTCGAATCTCAGAAGTGACAGACCAACACTAGTACAATGTGGGTGGCAACAACATAAAAATGTGAACGCTAAAAGGCAGGGATCATTGGGAATTTCCAATGACTCATGTCTTTCCCTCATGCAAAATACACTCATGCCCCTCCCAAGACCCCCAAAGTCTCTTCCTGTGACAGCATCAAAGTCCAGAATCTCATTGTGTAAATCTGACCTGGATGCCAGTGAAGCTTCTCGAGTACAGTGCCTCTTTTTTTTGAGTTGGGGTCTCACTCTATTGTCCAGGCTGGAGTACAGTGGCATGATCACAGATCGCTGCAGCCTCAATCTCTGGGGCTCAAGCAATCCTCCTGCCTCAACCTCCCAAGTAGCTGGGACTACAGGCACGCACCACCATGCCCACCTAATTTATTTATTTATTTTTTTGAGTAGGAGTCTCACTCTGTTGCCCAGGCTGGAGTGCAACGGAATGCTCCCAACCACTGCAACCTCAACCTGCTGGGCTCAAGAAATTGCAGACTTGAGCTACTGCACCCAGCCCACAAAGGATTTGTTTTTTGGGGTTTTTTTTGAGTTGGAGTCTCACTCTGCACTGGAGTGCAGTGGCACGCTCCCGGCCACTGCAGCCTCAACCTGCTAGTCTCTGGCAATCCTTCCGCCTCAGCCTTCTAAGTAGCTGGAACAACAGGCGCACGCTATCACGCCTGGCTTTTTTTTTTTTTTTTTTTTTTTTTGATGTATTGTAGTGATGAGGTCTCACCAAGTTGTCCAGGTGGGTCTCGAACCCGCGGGCTCAGGCAATCCACTTACTTCAGCCTCCCAAAGCGCGGGATTACAGGCTGAGCCACCGAGCCCAGCTCACAAAGGCTTTTTAAAAAAAAAAAATTTAATTTGTTTTTTGTAGAGACAGAATCTTGCTACGTTGCCCAGGCAGGTCTCAAACTCCTGGCCTCAAGGGATCCTCCCACCTGGGATAACAGGCATGAGCCACCATGCCTGGCCAACCCACAAAGTTTTAAAAAGAGAATGATATGATCAGAAACATTGCCAGGTTGGACTGAAAGGGCCGGAGATAGTATTTTAAAAAAGAGACCTTGGGACCACCAATGTTCTTTAAGAAAGAAGCAGGTTGAGAAAACTACTCAACTGCAAATATGTGTTATCTTTTATGAAAAAGGAAGAATGACTCAGCACAAAGGGCCAAAAGCCCAGAGGGCAGTGCAAAAAGCCATGGAAACTGGTGAGTAGCAGGAATGAGTCCCACAAGGAACTTCCTTATTTGCCCAGTTGAGTTTCAAAACTACTATGGACCAGGAACACATGTGTGTTCCCTCTTTCTTCCTTTTTTGAATAGGAGTGTCTCTGTCAGTTATTCTATGCCTGTCCCACCACTGTGTTTTGGGCACCTGGGTGGTAGATAACTTATCTTTTTCGTTCACAGACAAACAATCAAGAGGAACTATAATCAAATGGGTGTAGTGGCTCACACCTTCAGTCCCAGCACTTTGGGAAGCTGAGGCAGGAGGATTGCTTGAGCCCACGAGTTTAAGAGCAGCCTAGGCAACATAACGAGACCTTGTCTCTACAAAAAGTGAAAAAATTTGCCAGGCACAGTGGCTCACACCTGTAACCCCAGCACTTTGGAGACGGAGGCGAGAGGATTGCCTGAGTCCAGTGGTTCAAGAACCACCTGGGCCACTTGATGAGACCTCGTCTCTACAATAAATCAAAAAAATTAGCCAGGCATGGTGGTACGTGTCTGTGGTTCCAGCTACTTGGAAGGCTGAGGCAGAAGGCTCGCCTGAGCCCGGCAGGTCAAGGCTGCATTGTCCATGAGCATGCCACTGTACTGTACTCCAGCCTGGGCAACAAGAGTAAGACTCCAGCTTTAAAAAAAAAAAAGCAAGCCTTTGTGAATCTTATATGAACTTTTTGGAGTTCACTCCATTAGACAAAAGCCACACTCACAAATTGCTTCGAGATAAGCCCTTCTCCACCTTGGCTTCTGCTGAGATGGCAAGTGACAGTGCCCTTAAGTTTAATAGAAGCCCTGTTGTTTGTCTGAGATCTATGAGGCATACCTTTACACTCTTTAAAGTGTCTTTTGTCTTACTGAAGGATAGTTTGAGGCACCCTCTTTTATCTTTCTGAAGTCTTAACAAAGACTTTTACAGTTCCACTTGAGCTTCACCTTTAACGCATGCTTTCTTGTGACTGTCCTTCTTTGCTCAGAAACCATTTTTTAATTTTAGCCTCATTTGGAGAGTTCCTACAGTCAGCCAAACTCAAGATCAATGGCACAATTCTCCAGCATGCCCAGTCTGTCCAAGTCTGCAAGTTTGGGGGCCCCCAGGGCCACCTTCACCTTCAGACCAGCTGCCTACCAATTAGGAGATTCCCACAGACTCCCTTGGGTTTGATAATTCACTAGAAGTATTCATGGAACCCAGGAAAGCTTTATACTCGGTACTGGGTTTTTTTTATTGTTGTTTTTTTGTTTTGTTTTGGGGGTTTTTTGTTTTTTGGTTTGGTTTTTTTTTTTGGTTTTTGGAAAGCAGGATTTATTGAGAGAACAGAAAAGCTCCCATAGTAGGAGGGAACCGGAGAGGGTTGTCCTTTTTTTGTTTTGTTTTGTTTTGAGTTGGAGTCTCATTCTGTCACCAGGCTGGAGTGTGGTGGCATGCTCATGGCCACCATAGCCTTGACCTGTTGGGCCCAGGGGATCCTTCCGTCTCAGCCTTCAAAGTAGCTGGAACTATACGTACGTGCCACCATGCCTGGCTAACTTTTTAAAAATGTATTCACTGTAGAAACAAGGTCTCGCCAAGTTGTCCAGGCTGGTTTAGAACCCTGGGCTCAGGCAATCCTCTCACCTCCACCTCCCAAAGTGCTGGGATTACAGGTATAAGCCACCAAACCCGGCAGGACTGTGATTTTTATTATAGCAAAAGAATATAAATTAGAACTAGCCAAAGGAAGATATGGTAGGGTGGAATCTGGGATTGAGAGGGTCCCAAATGGAGAGCTTGCATGTCCTCAGGTACATGTTGTCCTCTCAGCATTGACATGCTCCAACTCAGGAAGCTCATACGAGCTTCAGTGTCCAGACTTTTTATTGAGGTTTCATTTTTTGTGGTTTCATAGGCATGATGAATTGAGTTACTGCCCATATAATAGAATTCAGTCTCCAGTGCCACCCCCATCTTCCCTGGAGATTAGGTTGATTTCACGTGGCCCAAAGCCCTGACTCTCTAATCACATGGTTGGTCTTTCTGGCATGGCTAGCCTCATCCTGAGTTATCCCATTCGCATAAACTATCTGGGAACTCACCATGAGTGACCTTGCCACTGGAAACTCTCAGGTGTGGTCCAAAGTTCCCACAGTGAACCGCAAAGACACTGCTATCACTTGGGAAATTCCAAGGGATGAGAGGTGACCTCCTAGGAGCTGGGACAGAGGCCAGACTTCTCTTTGGGCAAAGTTAATTCTTCACTACACAGAGAGGTTGAGAATCTTCAAAACCTTTAGGTCACAGTTCCGTTCTCTTTGTGTTTCACACATCTACCTTTAGAAGAAATTTCCCTTCTCTCTCTCCCCTTGCCTTTTACTATAAGTAGGAAGAAGAGATCAGGCTGCCCCTACAACACTCTGGCTGGAAATCTTAGCTGGATCACTCAGTTTATTCCTTTTTATTTTCTACCATTACGCAACGATAATCCCCTTTCCTCCATTTCAATTAAAATATTTCTCACTTCCCCCTAAGCTCTCACTGGTAGCCTCCTCAAAATTCAGATTTTTGGCCAGTAAATAGTTTGTCTGGCTGGGCACAGTGGCTTATGTCTGTAATCCCAGCACTTAGGAAGGTGGAGGTGAGAGAATTGCCTGATCCCAGGGGTCTGAGACCAGCCTGGGCAACTTGGCGAGAACTGTCTCTACAATAAATAAAAAATTAACCAGCTGTGGTGGCACATGCCTATAGTTCCAACTATTTGGAAGGCTGAGGCAGAAGGATCACCTGAGCCCAAGCAGGTCGAGGCTACAGTGGCCGTGAGGGCCTGGGCAACAGAGTGAGACTCCGACTCAAAAAAAAAAAAAATTTGAGGCAATTTAAGATTTCGCTAACACACTTTTCAGAGAGTCCCTATACCCATTTTACAGATGAGAAAACTGAAGCTCAGAGTCTTGGCCTCACGCACACAGCTCAGAAGTGGTGGTGCTGGGACGCCAGCCCAGGTTCACCTGCATCCAAGGCTCACGCTCTCAACTCCCTCCTGCCCTCCGCAGGACGTCGATGCCCTGGATCTGGAGATGCTGGCCCCCTACATCTCCATGGATGATGACTTCCAGCTCAACTCCAGCGAGCAGCTACCCAGGGCCTACCACAGACCTCTGGGGGCCGTCCCCCGGCCCCGTGCTCGGAGCTTCCACGGCCTGCCACCCCCCACCCCTGAGCCCTCCCTACTGCCCCGCTGGGGGAGTGACCCCCGGCTGAGCTGCTCCAGCCCTTCCAGAGGGAACCCCTCAGCATCCTCCACCATGGCTGGGGCTCGGAAGAGGTGAGCCACAGTGAAGGGGGGATGTCAAGAGAGTACCACTCCCATCTTGCCCTGCCTCCTGCTTCAACCTCTCTCCTCACTATTCCTCTCACCCTGATCTCACTCAGCCAATCCCTCCATGTCCCCAGCACCTGCTAAGTGTGTTCCAACCTCTATGGTCTCTATGTTTTTGTCTAGACTGTGCCTTCTTTTTTTTTTTTTTATTTTTGAGTCAGAGACCCACTCTGTTGCCTAGGCTGGACTATAATGGCATGTTCATGGCCACTGAAGTCTCGACCTGCTGGGCTCAGGTGATCCTTCTACCTCAGTGTTCCAAGTAGCTGGAACCACAGGAATGCACCACCATGCCGGACAAATTTTTCTTGATTTACTATAGAGACAAGGTCTCACCAAGTTGCCCAGGCTGGTCTTGAACCCCTGGGCTCAGGCAATCCTCTCACCTCAGCCTCCCAAAATGCTGGGATTACAGGCATGAGCCACCGTGCCCAACCAGCTGTGTCTTCTTCTAGAGTACCTTTCTCTGCTTGCATTGTTGGTCCAAATCCCACCTGTCAACAGGGCTTTCTCTTTTGGACCATATTTCTATCTGGCCTAGTGACCATTTTTGTCATAGTTAAGAAGACATTGCCACAGTGTCAGTGAAACTGTCTAAATCTTAGTTCCCTAACACCTTCAAGAATCTGTTAAAGCTATGGACTCTTTTCCAAAGAGTCCATACACACATACACACACACAATTTCACATATAATTTCAGAGGGTCTGTGCCCCCCATTCCAAAGACATTAGAACACTAATATTCAAGTTTTTGCCCTCCAAGTTGCAGGTATATGCCCACTTAATACTTAGAGTGGTCTCTGTATGATCCTTATAAAGCTGTTATGGATACAACTTGATATCTCCCAAGGCTCCCAGCTTGGGGCTGGGTATACAGTGGGTGCCCAATAAAGACTTACTTAATGGGGGGGAGAGAATTATTAATGAATAGAGTAGGTAGGTTGATGGATGGACAGCTAGATGGTTGGATGAAGCAATGGATGGAAGGAGGGCAAGCAGGTGGATAGACGGTGAATGAATGGAAGGATAGATGGGTGGAGGTTGAATGGGTAGTGGGTGGGTGATGGAGCATCAGATGGATGAATGGGAAGATGGATGAGTGAATGAGCGCATAGGTGGGTAGGGAGGGTGAGTGGATGGATGGGTGGATAGATAGGTAAATGAATGGAAGGTTAGATGGATGGAAGGCTGTATGGGTGGGTGGTGGATCACTGGATAGACAAATGGGAAGGTGGATCGGTGGATGGATGGCTCAGTGGGCCTATGAGGGTGTAAAGGAATAACAGGTGCTTGGGGGAGTGAATGACTGACTGCTTATCGCCTGCTTACACTGGTGTCCATGCCTGCCCAGATTTGCTGTGTCCTGAGATTCTTGCCTGTTTTCCTCCAGGGCCCTGGCCCAGAGCTCAGAGGGCGAGGACGAGGGAGTGGAACTGCTGGGGGTGAGACCCCCCAAACGGTCCGCCAACCCAGAACCCGAAAGCTTTCTGCTGTTTCCCCTCAGTCTGGTAGGTTGGGGAATTAATAGGATGCTCTGACCCTCAGAACTCAGCAGGGTCAGATATCCTATTTTATAGATAGGAAACCAGAGAGGGGCAGGGGCCAAAGCTGGGAACTTGACCTCCTAGTTTCGCTAATGGGTATGAAAGAGCTTTGCAAATACTTGTCAGTTGACAGTTAAGTGCTAAGAAGGAAAATTAAGCAAGGTAAGGGGAGAAATGGTAGGTGATTAGTGTCTGTGGGAATCTTCTCTCTCCCATGGGACTCCCTCCCCAAACTAGAATGGGTCTTGGATTCTTAGTGCAGCATTAAGAGTACAGGCACTAGAATCAGACTGACCTGGGCTCATCCCAAGTCTACCACCTACTAACTGTGAGACCTTGAGCAGGTGACATCACCACTCTGAGCCTCAGTTTCCTCATCCAGAAAGTGGGAATAGTTATATCTCACAGGAGTGCCATGAGGATTAGATGAAATAAGGCCTGACGCTTAGCTGTCACTCAGTGAGCTATCCACAAATAGTGCACAAACACAGACCAGACAAAAGCAGACTCCTCCCAGTGTTTCTTCCTCCCATTTCACTCCTTCTGTTCATTCTGCACAAAAGTGAACAGAACACCCTTTCCAAAAGCCAGCCTAGACTCTGCCACTTGCACAAGGCCTCCCTCTAGGATCTTCCATGTCTCCCTAGTACCCCCAGCAGTGCCCTGACTTCTTACTCTTCAAAGGGTTGTTTGAACATGAGGGATGTGGTTGATAATATCAACAGCTTACATTTATGGAGTGTCTACCGTGTACCAGATGCTGACTGCACTAAGTGCCTTGCGTGATTAGCTTATTTAAGCCCCATCGTTACTCTTAAGACATTATTGCTATTATCATACACTTTTACACAGGAGAAGTTAAGCCACTGTATCTGTCAGAGTCTGGGCAGGAAATGCAGCACACTCAGATGGAGGTGTTAACAAAGGTGTGGACAGGGTACAGAGAAATTTATAAGGTCTGGTACAGCATCCTGGAGCTGGCAACGTGGGAAGACTGCAGTAGCCCTGGCCTGAAGGCACAGGATGGTGGTGGTCACAGAGTCCTGGAGCAAGTGGGGCCCACCTGATAAGAGCTAAAACCTTCCATGGAGGGACATGGCCAACTCACAGCGACCCAGTGGGGAAGCAGCTAGGAGAATAAATCTCCCACCTCTTCTTCCACATGCTGGTATCTCCCAGGAGCTAAACCCAGCAGGACCACGTGCAGAAATGTTGCCCAGTATTACAGTCCATGTGCCCGGGGCAGCTTCTGGGGTATAGAAGAAGCGCAGGGAGACCAAGGCTCTAGAAGCACCCAGGAGGATGTCTGGGACAGTGATTTGCCCACAGTCATACCACAGACAGGTGGCCTCTGGGGCCCAACAACCCTTAAGCAAGGTGCCGTCCTGTCTTCTTGGATAATTTTTTACTTTTTAAAAAATTTCTAAACTTTTTTTTTAATTGGAGTCTCACTCCGTCACCCAGGCCAGAGTGCAGTGGCACACTCATGGCTACCCTAGCACCGACCTGCTGGACTCCAGCGATCCTTCACCTCAGCCTTCAAGTAACTGGAACTACAGGCACACTCTACCATGCCCAGCTAATTTTTTTATTTATTGTAGAGATAAGGTCTCACCATGTTGCCCAGGCTGGTCTCGATCCCAAGGACTCGGCAATCCACTCGCCACGGCCTCCCAAAGTGCTGGGATTACAAGCTTGAGCCACCACAGCTGGCCCTAAACATTTTTAAAATTTTATTATTTGAGTTGAAGTCTCACTGTCACCCAGGTTGGATGGAGTGCAGTGGCACACTCATGGCTGCCACAGCCTCAACCTGCTGGGCTCAGGCAATCCTTCTACCTCAGCCTCCCGAGTAGCTGAAAACACAGACACGTGCCACCATGCCTAGCTAATTTTTTGATTTATTGTAGAGACGAGGTCTCATCATGTTGCCCAAGCTGGTCTCGAACCCCTGAGCTCAGGCAATCCTCTCACTTCTGCCTCCCAAAGTGCTGGCCAAAGTGCTGGGATTACAGGCATGAGCTACCACACCCGGTAAAATTGTATTAGTTTTTTAGAGACAGGGTTTTGTCCTGACACCCAGGCTGAAGTAAAGTGGTGCAATCATAACTCACTGAAATCTCGACCTTCTGAGTTCAAGCAATCCTACCACCTCAGCCTCTCAAGTAGCTGGGAGTACAGGCGCCACTGCACCTGGCTATTTTTTTTT